TCAGCTCACAGGAGCCATAAGCCCATCACCCCTGCTGCCCTGCCCAGGCTCCTCTGCTACTTGAGACGAGCCTGCCATTTCCATTTCAGTACAGCTGAAGGACACTTATGAGACCAACACTTTCTTCTTCTTGGTGTTTGACCTGTAAGTACCTAGCCCTGCAGCTGGTGACATTCGGGGACAATCTGCTTACTGTCGTCCTCCCATCCAGAGCACCCAGGAGACCAGCAGTGCTCCCTACCCTGTGGAGGACACGTGGGATCTCTAGACAGTTCAGCCGCTGGGGTCAGGCTGCCAGGTTTTGAACCCAGAGCCCTCCACTTACAGGCTGCACAACTCCTTACATTCATCACTGGTATTACAGAGAAACAGCACGGTGATTGCCACGATGTCACTGTGAACAGTTAGAGACAACCGTGTTGGCCGGTCACTCGGTTATCATTCTAGGCATCTTAGGTATAGGAAAGGAAGAAAAGAATAGAGTCCCTTACTTGTAGCTATGCACCGACACACATATGTGAGGCGCCCTTGGCGCTGCGTGCAGTCACACAGCCCATAGTAACCTAGTATGCATTTATGAGCCAGGAGAGGCACGCTCCAAGGCTCCAATGACAAAGGAATACCTGACAAGGGGGAAATGTTGCTTGCCCTGTTTCCACCAGGACATACTGTACTGCACATGGACTAAAATGTTGCCTGGACTCTCACTAGTATGTATGAGGGTCAATTTCAATAATAATAATAATAATAATAATAATGCCAGAACAAAAGGCTAGAGATGGGAGTTTCTTTAAACCAAGGTGGCCAGTGCCTCACCTGAATGGAGAGGCATGGATTATTTGAAGGAAGTGTCAAAGCAAAGGCCTAATCTGGGAGCTGGGGTACCTAGTAGGGAAAACTTGTGTGTGGGAAGAGCAGAGTATGGCCAGTCAGTCCCAAGACACATTCTACAGGAAAGTTATCTGTGGCAAGGAGTTTGGCTCATGGGACCTACCTGGTACTGGAGAAGAACTGTGCTGTTTGTAGGGAGGCAAGAGTGGGGCAGGGAAATGGGATAGAGCACAGCACCACAGGGAGAGGCAGCAGTGGAACAATAGGGTGAGGTTTAGAATTCTCACCACCACCGCCACCATCATCATTTCCCGGCTCCTGCACCAGCAGGGGAGGAGAGACGAGGCCCCTGTCAAATGCCAGCAGAACAAAACGCTTGATGAGCTGGGTGTCTGAGACCCGTCGTCATCATCCTAACAGGTTCCCAGGGATGGCAGTCTCTTCCGTGTGACACGAAGCCCTGTTGTAGGGATGTCTTGATTTATCACACCTAAGCCGGTCCAGGGAATTGCAATGACCTAAGACAGTCACCCACGTGACCGTTCACACTGCAGCCATACGGAACAAGTGCAATGCCGCTTGACTTTGATATACAACTGATCTGGTGGCCATGGGAAGGCAGGGGTCTGAGGACAGATGCTACATGGTGCTCAAAATTCCCTGCTACATCTTGGTTGCTGCTGCAGCTGGGAGTCCTAGCGCCTTGCAAGTGAGTGAAAAGGAAGGAAACTGGGCTCACACATTGCTCTGTAGCAACAGGGCCCAGATATTGGATGAAATAAAGTTCAACTCTGTAAGGTTGTCTCCTGCAGCCCCCGTTCCCCCTCATCCTGTCTGCCAAACCCAAGGTCTTTCTGCCTCCTCTGCAATGCTGGCTGCCGTACACCTTGTTCCTGCCTTCATCTTCCTCCACCTTTGCCCAAGGAATCCCACTGCTTTCCCTGGAGGGCTGGGAGGGTGGGTAGCGGGGACACAGGGTGAACCTCTTCCTATACGCAACCAAAGGAGACTTTCCAGGGACCCCGTCTAATTCCACCAGCTGCAGCTGTCCCAACCCTGGTCTGTGGCACTATCTCATACAGCCCTTGAGGCAGCTCAAATGTCTTTAACCTTTGAAGTTGCTTGGGGAAGCTCTTTTTTTAAATGCTACCCGGAGGAGCCCCGAGGGTGTGACTAACACAGACCTTTCTCTAGATCACGCCAGGAAGTGTGTGGTAGAGCTGTGACTCTTGGGCCTCCAGTGGGCAAACAGCTCCTGGTCCCTCCTTGCTCAGGGTCCCTCCTTTTCTCATGCAGTCTTGCTTTATGCCCCGACAGAGTACCCCCGCCTCCCACCATCCAACTGATATATCAGAGCAGGGATAGCATGGGGGTGGTCCTTGGACCAACTCAGCTACAAGCCTCTATTCCTACAGGATGAAGAAAGGGGAGCTCTTTGACTACCTCACTGAGAAGGTCACCCTGAGTGAGAAGGAAACCCGGTGAGCATCCAGCTCCTCCCTCTACTCTCTTCCCCAGGTCCAAGGCCCAGGGTGGGAGTGTGTGCCTCTGGCTCAGGAGGCCTCCCTCCCTCTTCGGCTCTAGGTGGAGCCTGCCCAGCATCCTTCCTCATTCACACGAGTCTTCTCTACCATAGAAAGATCATGAGGGCCCTCCTGGAGGTGATCTGTGCTTTGCACAAACTCAACATTGTGCACCGGGACCTGAAACCTGAGAACATCCTCTTAGATGACGACATGAACATCAAGCTCACCGACTTTGGCTTCTCCTGCCAATTGGACCCAGGAAAGAAGCTGCGAGGTCCAGCCAGGAGCCGAGTCTCCCCCTACCCCCCCGCCCCGGTTCTCCCAGGAACAGAAATGGCCTGGGTCACTCCCCTTAGCACCCCTTGGCCACGCCCCACCCACCTTCATCCCGCAACAAACATCCCACCATCCCAGGCACATATGTCCCAGGACTGAGCTCAGCCAGGTACCCACAGCCTCCTTCTACGCAAGGATGGCTCCAAGTACCCAAGAAACCACCCGGCTCATGCTTGGTGCCCTCTGAGCCCCTGCCCTTGGTCAGTGTCAGCGGGGTCCCAGCCCAAGCATCCGTTTCTGTTCCATCTTACTGTTTCTCCCCGGCACCCTATCCTGATGGCAACTATTCCTGCAGAGGTCTGTGGGACTCCCAACTACCTGGCCCCGGAGATCATAGAGTGCTCCATGAATGAAGATCACCCGGGCTATGGGAAGGAGGTGGACATGTGAGTAGAGGGAGCTACAACCAGGTCCCTCCTGCTCCTCTGCCAGCCATCAGAGCTGGCTGTGCTAAGTGGCCCCTGCCCATCTTCAGGTGGAGCACAGGGGTCATCATGTACACCCTACTGGCTGGCTCGCCACCCTTCTGGCACCGGAAGCAGATGCTGATGCTTCGAATGATCATGAGTGGCAACTACCAGTTTGGCTCGCCTGAATGGGATGATTACTCGGACACCGTGAAGGACTTGGTGAGGGGCCAGGCCAGCGGGGAGGGCAAAGGGAGGAGGCGGCTACCAGGAGAGACCCCTGCGGCCTCTGAAATGCTGGACGTCTTCAATGTTCCCTCCCAACCTCCATTTCACCTCCCCCCAACTCAGGTTTCTCGCTTCTTGGTGGTCCAGCCGCAGAAACGCTACACAGCGGAAGAGGCTTTGGCACACCCCTTCTTCCAGCAGTACGTGGTGGAAGAAGTGCGCCACTTCAGCCCCCGGGGGAAGCTCAAGGTACTAAGGTGCCCAAGTCCCCGTCCCTCCCCTGACAGCTCCTGCCACCCTAAGGAAAAGGCAGATGCCAGCCTACCACCTCCATCAATCTAGGTCCTCACAGGTGCCGGTTGCAAGGGACCGAGCGGAGGTCGGGGAACACTAGGAAGCCCTGCGAAGGGTTTCACAGCCCTGCGAAGGGTCTCCCCGGGCTGCGCTGGCCGCTCAGAGGCCACTTCGTTTTGGCCCTCCCTCGGCAGGTGATTGCTCTAACAGTGCTGGCTTCGGTGCGGATCTACTACCAGTACCGCAGGGCGAAGCCTGTGACCAGGGAGATCGTCATCCGGGACCCCTACGCCCTCCGACCTCTGCGCAAACTCATCGATGCCTACGCTTTCCGCATCTATGGTCACTGGGTGAAGAAGGGGCAGCAGCAGAATCGGGCCGCCCTCTTCGAGAACACCCCCAAGGCCGTGCTCTTCTCTCTGGTCGAGGATGACTACTGAGGGGTTGCCTGGCCTGCGCGGGAAGGCGGGGCGGGTAGAGGAAGCCTCAGAACACCTGAGTCGGAAGAGCAAGGTCATGGCCAAGAGCGCTTGGTGGGGAAGCCAAGACGTTCCTTCCCGGGGACTGTATGGGAGAGCAGGGGGGCTTGTCACGCAGCGATGAACACGGACAGATCCAGGAGGCAGCCCTGAGCGTGGAGACCAGATGGGACCTGGGGTTCTTCTAGTTCCAGGCTTCCCTGCTGTGCCAACCTCACTCTGTTGGTTTCTCTTTATGGGAGCCCTCTTCCCTCAGGTGCCCAGGGCGAGGATGATACACACACAAAGTGGCACAGTTGCACAATGGGACTTTACCATCTTGTGTATGTCCAGTGGCACCAGGGGCTGCGCGGGACTCTCTGGGGACATGACTGGAGCCGCACAGGGGGGCCCTTCCCTAATTACCAATAGAAGGGGAAGCTACTAACACTGCCTCGCTCTGGGGTGTCATTTTGCTTTGTGACTCCTGGTCAGTCGTCTGGGTCTCCCAGGCTCTGACCATCACTGTCTATGAAAGAGTCCATGGGGCGCATTTGACAGGTGGAGGAAGTCAGGGGCATGAAACACCATGGATGAGGCCCATGAATGAGCGTTTTCCTCTCACAGTAACTTTCTGGGAAAGCAGAGAAATGGCAGACCTCCATGTCAGACAGGAAGAAAGGGGTGCGGATTTAGAAATCTCTAATAAGCTGTCTTTCAGGGCACTCTGTTCCAATCTTTGGCCACCATAATCTTTAAGTCCAAGCTTTAGGGAGAAGCTCCCAGCTTCCAGCCACAGTCACCAAGTGGAGTCCATTCTCTCGTGGACCATAGCAGGCAGCCCTCCTCTGAGGGTTAGGTCCTCTCTGGCCTGGCGAGAGGTTGCCTGCCACAGAAGGACAGGGGAGGAGGTTGGAGGTCAGAAGTCCTGGCGCGTGGCTGTGTGATGAATGAATGACACAGGTATCCTGGGGGGACTTCCTTCCGGTTCTTTGGCATGGCTGCTCACAGCTCTCCCGGGATCCGGCCGGCATTGGCAGCACAGCGGAAGCCGAGGTTATCCGAGGATGAATCTGGAGTGTTGCCCATCCTAGATTCGTCAGAGAAGGGGAGAGAGTGTAGGTAGGGGCTAAGAAACAGGCCATGGGCGTCACCCAGCTGCCCTGCTCAACGCACCGAGTGTGTGCGTGTGTGTGTGTGTGAGAGAGAGGGAGAGAGAGAGACAACTGCAGGGTGCCTTGTCTGGGAAATAAAACCTAGTGGAAAGACAGTTCCTGAACTTGTGCAGTGCCTAAGGGACAGGAAAGAAGGCATCTTAGGACACAGGGGAGAAAGTGACGGTAGAAAGACAGCTAAGAAATAACACCTATTATTAATAACTGAGAACAACGACTGAAAAAACCCTGTGGCCGGAAGTGGAGACATCACAGTGCTAGCCAGCTCGTAACATTTTTCTAGAAGCTTTCGTGAATATTCCTGCCTTTGTTGTTTCCCAACTTCTCCGGGAGGCAGAATCTGTTTGCTACCTTACAGACCCAAAAACCCAAGATGAGACACTGCTTCGGGGCTGGAGTAGGGTGGATGGCTGACCAGCTCCCTGTGCCCAGGCCAGTACTTTCTTATTACTTTGTCCTCAGAGGGGGAGAGGAGGAAAACAAAAGGCTTTCCAAGTGTCAGAGTCACCCAAGCAACCCTCGTGTCCCTAGACCCTGGTCAGAGTGGACTCCCTCTCGGTGAAAGGCAGAGATCAACAAACTGAACCCGCAGACGAAGGAGGCAGAAAGTCCTAGAGGACCACTAGGCAGCCCAGAACTCAACCATGCAGCTGCCACCTGCTAGGTCAAAACAAGCAGGCCCTGGGATGTAGCTGAGTTTTCTGTCCTTGATTATAAAATCAAGTGAATGTGAAGATTGAACTATCACGATGAACCAGTTTGGAGCGCCTGTAAGTCCATGATCACGGGCGATGACCCAGCGATGAGGCCACTCCTTCTCCCTCCCTCTGCTTACCGGGTGATGAGGACAAGAGGAGAAACTCACATGACCAGCATGCTGAGCACACAGCCTCCCTTGGTGCCAAGAGCTGGCAGGAAAAGGGCCCAGCCGTTCCAGGCCCTTCTGCTTTCATGATGAGTGGCTCACTGCCTGTTCCATACCCACAACTCCCAGTGGCAGGCAGGGGTATGCTCTAGGAGCCCAGGGTCCAGCTGCTCAGCACCCAAGGCATGCGTTCCCTTGGCCCAAGCTTCTCACCTGGTGGTGATCCGGGCCCGGTGATTGGCGGAGCCATCGGCCGTGTCAATCCAGGACGCCCCCCGGAGCACACGCATGTCCTCGTGAGCAGCCGGGTATGTGGATGCTGTCCACTCCCACACATTGCCCACGAGGTCATACAGCCCTGTAGTACAGTTGGCAAGTCAGTCCCAGGTTGGCAGGCACCCCCCGACCCTTGCCCATTAGGGTCCCTGGGGAGCAAGTGCTGGCACAGAAGGGCCTCTCTCTCTCTCTCTGCTCCATCCATCAGGGAGAACACTCTGACCGACTTGTGGGCATGGGAGACCATACCGTAGTCATTCTGTGGGGGGAACGCCTTCACAGGGGAGACTCCGTGGAAGCCGTCCTCAGCTGTGTCACCTGTAGGGAACTTTCCCTGGTGGGAGAAGTTAAGGTTGAAGGGTTTGCTGTTGACCCACGGCAGAGAAAAATCCAGGTCACCTTTCTGTGTGACCTGGGGCAGTGACCTCAGCTTCCTATCCCGAGCTCTCAAACAAGTTCCCTCTGGTCCTCCACCACGACCTCGAACCTGGCTTAGGGAAGGCACGTGCTTGGGTGGTTCTTGGCATGCCCAGCCCAGTCCTGCTCTTTCCACTCTCTGCAACATCCCCCCTCTTGGTCTAGAACCCCATTCACCATGGTTCCTTGGGAAGAGGGGCCACCCTTCTGTTCCTGAGGTCACATGCCCTCTGCATGGGCACCGGAGACCAGACCACCACTGCCCTCCCTGGCACCACCAACACCCATTGTGCCCTCTCATAAGGCCCTTCCCCTCTATCTCCCACAGCCTCAACTCCCCTTCATCTTCCCTGACTCTACCTTTCTAATCTCTCATATTTTACAACCAAAATTCTTAAAGAAGCAACCCATACTTGTTGGTACAGTTTGTTCAATTTGTTTATTTAAAATTGGGGTTCAGTCATCACTACTCTATAGAAGTTGCTCTCTCTCTCTCTCTCTCTCACACACACACACACACACACAAAGGATGAATGGGGTGAGGGTTTTGATTTATTTAGCCCTACCACATGCTAGGGCTTCCCCTATCTGTCTTTTAGGTTCACCTTCACAATAGTTTGAAATAGGTTTTGTCTCTGTTTAAAAACTGGCAATAATGGCTTAAATCACCACATCTCATCACTTCCCATGTCAGAGTGCTCATTCATGCCCTGGCTGTTCTTCTCATCCATTCCCTGCTAATGTGCCTGCGGAAGCAGCAGAGGATGCTCCAGGTACCTGGCCCCAATCACCCACGTCAAGAATACAAATGGAGTTCTAGGCTCCTGGCTGTTTGGGAAGTGAAGCAGCAAATGGAAGATGGATCTCTCTCTCTCCCACTCCTTTCAAACAAACATTTACAATGCAGATAAAAAGCTGGCAACTACGTTTCAAGCAGCTGGCTAAATTGTTAACAAGTGCGAACTTTTCTGTGACGCTTTGGTTTCAAGCTGGGGTCATCCAGTCCTCGGGTGTTTTCACTGCTTGTCCCCGAGCACTGGTGCTGAGCTGCTCTCAGCTGACTGTCTCTCTGAGGACAGCACCTTGCCAAGGTGCATGCTGAGAACTCCATAGCCACTTGCTCTGACCCAGGACTCTGTTTTCTATTCTGACTCCAATGCATCAAAACCGTTGAAATCTTAGCTCGCTGACCGCCAACAAGTGTCCTCTGTCTCCTGGACAGTGGCAGCACCGTGACCATTGCTGCCAAAGCCTGGATTCAGGCTGGACTCCACCGCTCTGCTCTACTGCTCGGCTACGTTTGACTAATTACAAACTATCCATCTTCACAGTCAACCCACCCCTCTCCCCAGGTTCAGCTTCCTCTCTTGCTTCCACTGCCATAGCCTCAAATGTAAAGATCCTCACCCAGGTCCAGCTCTACTTCATTCAGTCCTGAGCAAATTAGCAGCCCCGCCTCCAACAAAATGGTGCTCCTGTCCCATTTGGAAAGCTCAGATGGCTCTACACCACCTTGGTTGGGCATCCTTCTGAGTCTGCTTCCATCCAATCCCCTAACTGCACTATTGCCAGCCCTCTCCAGGGGCTCCACTGAGTCTCCACATCTCTGAACACCCAGCACACATTCCTAAAGCAGCGCCAGGCCTGCGTGCTGGTACCCGTGCTTGGGATGGCCTGTCATTCCACTTTCTACTTGGCAACCTCCAATGTAATCAGCTCAGAGACACCCCGCCTAGGAAGCCTCCCCTGGCACCCTCAGGCAGTGATTCACTCCTTTGGCCTCATCATGTCATCAGTAATCTGTTCCATTAGAACACAGGGTTGGGCCTGGTACCATAGCCTAGTGGCTAAATCCTCGTACTTGGCATGTCTTGGTATCCAATATGAGTGCCGGCTCATATCCCAGCTGCTCCACTTCCCATCCAGCTCCCTGCTTGTGGCCTGGGAAAGCAATCGAGGACAGTCCAAAGCCTTGGGATCCTGCACCCACGTGGGAGACAAGGAAGAAGCTCCTGGCTTTGGATCAGTTTAGCTCTGGCCATTGCGGCCACTTGGGGAGTGAACCAGCAGATGGAAGATCTTTCTCTCTGTCTCTCCTTCTCTCTGTTAACCTGACTTTCCAATAAAAATAATTAAACCTTAAAAATAAATAAGTAAGAACACAGGGTGCTCGGAGTCCCACAGCGCCTGGCCTAGAGCAGGTCTCCGTCAGTGCCAGAGCCAGGGAGGGACACAGGTGCTTCTTACCTGCCACAGATTGGTGCGGTTTGGCTGGAATTTGTTCCCCCATGGGTAAATCCGGCCTGTCAGAAGGGCAAGGAGACCAGAGGGAGAGGGAGAGGTGAGAAGGTGGAGAAGCAAAAAGAGAGGGAAGCCACAGGGAGTTAGGAGGTGTGGAGAAGAGCAGAGGCAGGTCGCTCTTAAGCTCGCATGCCCATCTCCGGCACTGACTGTACTGCCTTAGGGCCCTCGGCTCCTACCTGCCCGGGACAGTGCAGTTAGCTCCGAGTGTGGTTCTCAGACCGGGGCCACTCTGTGAACTAGCTGTGACCATGTTCATGTCAAGAAAAGCTCAAAAACTCGAGACTTAAAAATGAAGAAACTTGGCATCAGAGTGTTGAGGCATGGCAGTTAAATTACCCACATCCCATTTCAGAGTGCCTGTTGGGGTTCTGGCAATTCTATTTCTTATCCAGTTCCCTGTTAATACATTTTGGTATGGCGGCAGCTCTTGGACCAAGCGCTTGGTGCTACCCCACAAGGGAAACCCAAATGGACTTCTTATTTCCTGGCTTCCAGCTGGCCCAGTGCTGGCCATGGCAGGCATTGAGGAGTGAACGGAATCTGTTTCTCTCTCTCTCCCCCCTGTGTGTGTGTGTGTGTGTACCTATCGCTCTGTCACTCTGCCACTTAGATGGATTAAAAAAATAAAACAACTTTTTTTTTTAAAGAAACTCATATCCACTAAACAAAATTTTAAAAAAAACTCACATACTTCATTAGTGAACAAGCAAGAAAGCAACCTCATTAATTATATCAAAAGCTTTGAGTACAAGGGCTGGCACCCTAGTGTGGAGACTAAGCTTCTGCTTATGGTGGCGGCAGCCCACATGGGCACCAGGTCGAGGGCTGGCTGCTCCGTTTCTGACCCAGCTCCTTGCTGACGCGCCTGAGAAAGCAGCGGAGGATGGTCCAAGTGCTTGGACCACTGTAGTCACGTGGGAGACCTAGAAGAGGCTCCTGACTTCAGATGGACCCAGCTCCAGCTGTCGTGTCCACTTGAGGAGTGAACCACGGGACTGAAGGTCTTTCTCTCTGTCCTCTCTCTCTGAAAATCTGCCTTTCAAATAAAACAAAATGTCTTTTAAACTTTCTGACTGGATATGTCAGGAGCTTATTCAAGAGTGCACGGAGGGGTTTAACGTGGACAAGTGCTATCCACTCACATGAGGGCTGGCTCTACGAAACAGTGGGTAAAGCTGCCATCTGTGGCACCAGCATCCCACATGGGCACCAATTCAAGTCCTGGCAGCTCCACTTCCAACCGAGCTCCTCTGCTAAAGCTTCTGAGAAAACAGTGGAAGGTGAAGAAGAAGTGCTTGGGGGCTCTCTGTGCCCGTGTGGGAGACCTGGAAGCAGCGTTAGGATCCTGGCTTCACCCAAGTCCAGCTCCGACTGCTGCAGCCATTTGGGGAGTGAACCCCTGGATGGAAGATCTCCATCTCTTTTCCTCTCTCTGCAACTCTCCTTTTCAAATAAATAAATAAATAAATGATGAAATACTTTTAAAAGGTTACAAAGTGACAAACTTTGAGTAAACAGTTATTCATTGTATCCATCACGGTGCACCTATGGAAAAGATATACAGTTCTGGCAATTCTCCCTTCCTATGTTGGTCTAGTTATTTTTATTGAAATATAACTTGGAGGGGCTGACATTGTGGTGCCACTGGTTAAAGCGTTGTCTGTGACACTGGTAGCATGTATGAACTCCTGTTGAGTCGCAGCTGCTCCACCTCCAAGGCAGCTCCCTGCTAATACACGTAGGAGAGCAGCGAGGGATGACTTAAGAACTGGGGTCCCTGCCTCCTCTGTGCGGAGCCCATCTGGAGTTCTGGGCTCCTGGTGCTAGCGTGGCCCAGTCCCAGTTGCTGTGGCCATTTGGAAAGTGAATCAGCAGACAGAAGATTCTTCTCTCTGTAACTCTACCTTTCAAATAAAGAAATCTTGTAAAATTGTAAATAATACTTGTGGAATCACCAAAAATAGGAAACTTATGTCTGCTTTCCATTTCGGTTTCCCAGTTATTAATGGCTACTCTATTTTACAAATGTACTCTTCTGAGATGGATAAGAAATAATAATAATAAAAAAAAGAACTGGTCTTTCAGCACAGTAGACTTAAGCAGCACTGCTCTAGGGAGAAGGCACACCCCAGCACCCTGCATTCAAGTCCCGGACCAGGGCAGGATGGCGAGCGATAAGCCTTGGCAACGGCTGTATACCCTTCAGACCCCCTCGAGCAGCAAACTCCCACTCTTCCTCCGTCGGCAGCCGTTTCCCTCGCCAAGCGCAGTAGGCACGAGCGTCGTTCCAGCTCACGTGAAGCACAGGGAACTCCAATTTCTCTTTGATGCCAGAGCCGGGACCTGCAGGCTGACAGGATGAAGGGAGACACGCTTCTGCTGCCAGTGCTCAGCTTCGACCACTAGACGGAGCAAGGACGTTGGCAGATGTGAGATGGCCTAGCGAGGGGGAGGGGGCAGGGTGGGTTTTCCAGGGTCAGACTCAAATCCTAGACTTGCAACCACAGGGATGCCATACAGGTGCCGGTTCATATCCTGGCTGCCCCACTTCCTATCCAGCACCTTACTTGTGACCTGGGAAGGTAGTGGAGGACGGCCCAAAGCCTCGGAACCCTGCACCCATGTGGGAGACCTGGAAGAAGCTTCTGGCTTTGGAATCAGGTCAGCACTGGCCCTTGTGGCATTTTGGGGAATAAACCAGCAGACGGAAGATCTTTCTGTCTCTCTTTCTGTAAGCCTGCCTTTCCAATAGAAAATAAAGTCAATCTTAAAAAAAAAAAAAAAAGACTGTGTGGCTAAGTGATTACTCAACTGGCTAATTCTCTGCCTGTAGCACCAACTGGTTCTGTTGTGGCTGCTCCACTTGCCATCCAACTCCCTGCTTATGGTCTGGGACAACAGCAGAGGCTGGCCCAAGTTCTTTGGCCCATAAGTCCTTGTGGGAGACCTGGGAGAAGTTTCTGGCTTCCAGTTGCCAACCAGCTCAGTTCTGGCCATATCAGCCATTCGGGGAGTGAACCAACAGATGGAGGACTTCTGGCTCTGTCTCTTCATTCTCTGCAAAAATCTGACTTTCAAATGAGAAAAGAAATCTGGGCGGGGGGTGGAAACTACACGTCAGACTAAAGGGAGATCAGAGAGAAGGACAAAAGATTGCTTAGCTTCCCAGAAGTACTTGTTATCTGGTTATTAAAGACCGTATTCCTGGTGGGTACCAGGAAGATGAGGGAAGGAGTCAGCTCTTACCTGCCTCCAAAATGCCCCCTCCACAGGAAGCCACCAGAGAAGATTCTGCAAGAAAGAAGGAGCAAGTGACCCAAAGGCAGGACAGGGATGCAGGCAGGCCTTGGGTGCTGGGGGTGGGGGGGGCCTCCCCCTTCTGCAGCTTGCTAGCCGCTTCCGAAGTATCCTGTTCTTGGTCCATGTCTCTCTCGGGCAAGAATCAGCTCAGAGCCCACCTCCTGCGACGTGTGTCTGTCTCTGCCAGGGTTGGGTTTCTCTGGCTGCCTCCCTGACCCAGCTCTCAGGCCTGACTCTGCATTGTGGCCCACGAGATCCTGCCCTGCCCCCCTCTCCCCCCACTTTAGGATTCTCGATTCTCCTCCCAGGGCCCACATCCCCCCAGCTCCCTCAGCTGGACCACTAGGCTCTCTCACCTTCACCCGCCTGGTGGTCTTTTTTTTGAGCTCCTGGGAGACCAAGTCCTCAAAGACAAAGCTCCACCCAAAACTCTCCGCTTCTGTCCGGAACTTCGTGCTCCTTACAAACTCCCTGCAGTGAGACAGTTCACCTACTTCAGCGGCCAGCATCCCATGCCTCCTCTCTGTCCCCTCTCCCCACCCCGCTCCAGAAACCTCCCATACCCTGTTCCCTAAGTCACACACCACAGAGACACTATGCTCCCAGGAATCCTCTGGCAACCCTGGGCAGGAGGGAGCTTTCTTTCCAGTTAGCACAGAATTCACCTCTTGGGAAAGCCACGCTTTTCTGATGTATGCAGAATTCTGGGAGTTTTTGGCAAAGGGCAAGCATAATTACTATGTGAATAATCACTATGTGAATCGTAATGAACAGCCAAAATACAAGATGGTTCCATCTATCACTCTAAGCAGCTTTCCCTGCGCCCCCTTGCAACCATGGATTTGCTTTTTTGTCTTCGTAGCTTTGCTACAAAGGAATCAGAGCACGCAGTTTTTTAGGCCAGGCTTCTCTCACCTAGTAAAATGCTTTGGATTTATTTGTGGCGTCGCTCTCAGTGGTCTCTGCCTTCTCTTCGATGAGTATGTCATCGTATGGTTACACTTTTGCACAAAGCTTACGCTTATGGATAAAGCTTATGCGTTCAACAGCTGAGTTATCAGGGGAGTTCAATCCGGATTTTGGAGATTACAAAAAAACAAAACAGCTGAGCAAGTATGAGGGCAGGGAGTGAGACTCTTCTGAAAGGTCTTCATCCCAGTCTCGCTACGAGCACGGGAAGCTGGCAGCACAGGTATTGTTATTAATCTGCATCTAACAGATGGAAGACAGGCAAATGAATGACATACTGGGGCGTTGGGATGGATTTCCACACAGTTGGCTCTGGAATGGCCAGTTGCTGGGGGAAGATGACTGTCACACTGGGCCAGCTCTCCCCATGTCTGTCCCTGACATGAGGAGACACTGTGTGCTGATCAAAGGGACTCTGAGAGTGATCAAGGCACTGGGAGATTCGAGCATTATCTGAGCCGTTTGAAACTTTAACCAAAGAACCAGAGTCAAATCATGGGGTTCTGAGCAAAATTCAGGGTAGAGGGCATACTGTGCAACCACCTAGCTGTTGGTCGGCATGATGTGGTAAAGCTTGGTCAGGAGTGATTTCTCCCCTAATTTTAATAAATTTCTTTTTGAAGTGATTCGATTACTTTTAAAAGTACGTGCATATAAAAATGCACACTGCATTAAA